ATTCGATTAACAAGTCATTATAAATGTGTAAGACTCTGACTTTAAGTCAATACAAAGATAATAGGTTTTAAGCAATGTGTGCAAAAATTTTTTAATGACATTTTACCAAACTCTAACAACAGTTGGCAGTACAGGGGATATTGAATAAACTTGAAAACAATATAACCATAGTCACTATGTAAAGATTCGCCACAGACAGACCTGCTTTCTGTATGGTGTAATAACACCAATATCACTGAACTCCAGTGGATGTACATCATTTGTCTTCAAAGCTTGTAAATATTTCACAACTTGAACTGCTTCTATTGGATTGAACCATGATGGACTGTCACCTTCCCTTAAATCTTCACCCTACATGTATATTTAACATTACATGTATAAACAGTGACACCACACATACAAAATACAGATGCATTTGCAGAATAATATTATAGTTACCGTTAGCTACAAATCATTCAAAATAATATAACCTCAGATTATCCCCACAACTGATTATAATAGCAGAAAATATTCTATTTTCAATAATTAGAGGTTACATTTTAGTAATTCGCTTTTATCATGCTGTGGCCATTACTGGCTATTTGTGTTGTCGGAATGTATTGGCGCTGATTCATAAGTATATTGTTGCAGTTGACCTGGAATGCAAATCAATCAGGAATGGCAGTGGCATGATAAAGGTAAATTAAATGTAATTAATATATGTAAATTAATCTGAGTATCATTTCTTGCTGTTATTAAACACATATATTACATACAAATACACAACAGGCACACAATATGGCTAAGTAATATATTTACCTTAAGACCATGGAATAGAATTGGAAATGAATTTTTATTTGGTAAGAGATTCCCACTGACATAGACAGTCAGTTTTTTTCTCATCGGCTTGAGCTATCAATTCATCATGATAAAAAATCTTAGACGATAGTTTCAACAATGCAGGATGAGATCGGTAGTTTTCAACTAGTTTGGTCACCTGCATTAAAAACCATGCATGCATAAATATAGGTAATTAGATGGCACGCAGTAATTTATCCCATACATAATGGCAGTTCAGTGTTATAGCCAATCTATCCCGAAACTGTAAATATTAATGATGGCTGTAAGACAAATGTATACAAGGGTAAACAGACAGTAATTGGTCTAATTAGTAATTTTCTTACCAATAAAGGATCATAATTTCCATGATCTTTGAATTTGTCCTCGTCTCTATTGTAGAGTAACCTCTGTGTTAGTCTTTCTAACAAGGATATATTAAATCCATACTTTATGGAAAGTTTATTCATAAGCACTGGTCCAAGCTGTAGGGGATCACCGGATAAAACAATCTGAAATAAATAAATAAATAAATCAATCAATCAATCAATCAATTAATTTTCAAGCATCAACCAAATATCATTAAAACATGTAAATCTAATGAGCACTTATTAGTATTTACATATCAAGTAATCTGCAACTAATCTGATAATTCTCAATCAAAGTTAAATTTTCATTCATATCAATTGTGATTTTCAAGAATGTTTAAATGGCATTTTGGATACTGATCAATAACCATTAAAAACATTTTACTAATGTTGTATATGCTTTCAAACACACATACATGGACGGTACAGATTTAGATGATGTATATATGCTTTTCGGGATAGATTAGTGAACTAAATCCTATATAAATAATCAAATTTATGGACTATCGTACTTGACAAACTTAGCACCCATGCTTGACTAAACGCCTCCTCCCCCACTCTTAGGGGATTTCTATTTTTGAGGTCAAGTTCAACCTTGTTGCTATTTCTTAATTCTAAAACACTCCAACAGTCAAGTCATATAAAACCTGGTCATTTGACATCAAATTATTTTTCAAAATAATCAAATTACAGCATCTATTGTAACTATCAACTATGGTCTACCTGTGATTACTAATAGTGAATGTAAGTACAGACAACATTGGTTCACAGAAATCCCCAGTCCCAGGCATGAGAATGAATAAGTCAGATCAAATTCATATATACCTGTCCATTTTGTCCCGCAGCCATGCCTAATGGTATGATGCATTCTGGTTCGGTAGCTTGTCCTGCTTCATCCACAAATACATGTGTAAAATGTCCAGATTTCAAACCAAGCTGATATAGTATACCCGCCATTATACAGGTACATACAACTATCCTGTGATGACATACTAGGTCTAATTTATCTCCATTAGTGCAGTAAGGTTTAATGACATCTTCTATTGACTGAAAAAGTAGAGAAAAACAAACTTAAAGTGGGAGGGTCATCACCTGCGCATGCACAGGAATTGAGTCGTAAGCGACAATTACAACACGCGCTAAAAACGCAAAGGCTCATGGGTAGACACCTGTTTGTAAACAATGACACGCTTCATAATTGAAGTTGATATAGTTTATAACAAAAGAAATAATGATTGTACATTTATCATTTGAGGTATTTGGAGTATCCAACACCACCTATTATATTTCCAAATAATCAAATTACAGCATCTATTGTAACACCTATTTGTACCAATCTTCATTTAAATTTGTTTTTTAGTTGTTCTTGAGATACTATATATGTAAATTAGTCAAATTAATATGCACAAAGATTCCCTTATGTGGTTTTCGCAAAGGATAGAAAAACAGAAAACAAACAAACATGCTCCGGGTGCCCAGGTAACATTTTATTTTTAATTAATAATTAACCATTTTGGATGGAAATTAATGTCAAGGATATGATATCCTTTACTTCATGGAGACAGCATGGCAACACAGAAGAGAGACATGACATGACATGTATTTTACAGCACCAGCCCAAGTACTGGAGCATTCAGCACAAACTGATATAATAATAACTTTATTGTATCCTTAGAAATACAATGTTTCTATCAGTTAATAGCAATAAAGATCAGTTGTGACAATTACTACTATAAAAGGAAAAAAAAGTTGCTAATGGGATAAAGCTTATCAGATGGCATTTTCATTTCTTGATTGAAATGTGTATGAATATAGTTGCCAATCTTTTTTATTATTACATCATCTTTTGAAGTCATTAAGATATTAAATTTCTGGAGATCATCCTGTGTTTCTTGTGGTAATGTAATCTCTTGTATGATTTGTTGGTGTATTAATTTATATTGAGTGCATATCATAACAAAGTGCAGTTCATCTTCTATTTCATTCTGTGTACAATGTCTGCAAATTCTGTTTTCAATATGTATTTTTGGTTCTGTATGTCTCATGTTTTCTATTGCTAAATTGTGATTCTAAACTTTTTCATTGAAATTCTTTTTTTCAAATTCAACACATCCAGGTGATTTTCAAAATTACAGGAGTCTTTGAATTTTTTCTCAGTCCTCAGTTTTGTTTTTTCACGTATATTTTTTCTCCAGAAATTTATATATTTTTCTTTGACAACTTTGCCACTTTGCTTTATTTTGTTAACAAATCATTCTGTTGTTCTAGTGAAAAATTCAATTTGTTCATAATTATTTGTATTGAAGAAAACCATCTACTAAGAGTGGGAATTCTCCTACTTCGGCTCAGCATGCAAAATTTCAATTGTGTTTTTTTCAGATCCATACAATAATATTGATTGAATACACCTTTTAAAGAGATGGATAAACGTTCTACAATTTGTTTCTGGTGGAAGAAATGCTTGGGCTGTTTTATCTGCTAAATTTTGTTTGGCTTCAGTGTAGCAGACATTTGACTTTATATTTGTACCCATATATATACACATTATAATAGAATTTTTTCTGTCTTTTTCAGTGTTCCTCGTCTGAAAATAACAACATTTGTTTTTGTCAGATTTATCTGGAGTTTTCATTTCTGACACTAAACCTCTGAACTATTTAGTGCATTTTATAGGATGTTTTTTGTTTCAGAGGTTAACACCAGATCATCTGTGACGTGTTCAATGATATACAA